CTGCATTGACGCTTTACACATTACTGGATGGAAGTACCTACACTCTTTGTTGAAATGACACTTTCTCTTCCTCAACATGTTCGCACATTTTCTGGTGTGTTTATTCCAACAATATCTGCCATATAGTCACATACCTTTAGCATAGTAACTGCAAATGTTCTGACTACCTATACAGTGGACCCCCGGTTAACGATTTTAATCCGTGCAAGAGGGGTAATCGTTATGCGAAATAATCGTTATGTGAATGAATTTTCCCCATAAGAATAATGGAAATAAAATTAATCCGTGCAAGACACCCAAAAGTATGAAAAAAAAATTTTTTTACCACATGAAATGTTAATTTTAATACACACAAACTGAAAAAGGCATGCACACTTACATGACACTTACTTTTATTGAAGATCTGGTGATGATTGATGGGATGGGAGGAGGGGAGAGCATTATCTTCTTACTGTTTAGAAGGGGAATCCCCTTCCATTAGGACTTGAGGTAGCAAGTCCTTTTCTGGGGTTACTTCCCTTCTTCTTTTAATGCCACTAGGACCAGCTTGAGAGTCACTGGACCTCTGTCGCACAACAAATCTGTCCATAGAGCTCTGTACCTCCCGTTCCTTTACGATTTGTCTAAAATGGGCCACAACATTGTCATTGAAATAGTCACCAGCACGGCTTGCAACAGCTGTGTCAGGGTGATTTTCATCCATAAAGGTTTGCAGTTCAACCCACTGTGCACACATTTCCTTAATTTTTGAAGTAGGCACAATGGATTCCACAACTGGCATAGGCTTCTCAGGGTTAGCCCCAAACCCTTCAAAATCTTTCTTAATTTCCATACTAATTCTCACCCTTTTTACCACAGGGTTGGCACTAGAAGCTTTCTTGGGGCCCATGGTCACTTATTTTCCAGAAACAGCACCGAAAACACTGTAATAATACGAAATATTCCGATTGTATGCTTGGATGTTATTGCGGAGGCTGGCTGGTAAACAATGCCACCGGCGGAACATGTGAGCGTGGCTCAGGCCGCACATTGGAAGCGTCTCGGACGAAAATCGGTAAGCGGGTTTTTAAGCGGTATGCGAGGCAAAATTTTTGCAATTAAAGTAAGCGGTATGCGAAATAATCGCTATGTGATGCCATCGTTATGCGGGGGTCCACTGTACAGTGGACTCCCGCATAACGATCACCTCCGAATGCGACCAATTATGTAAGTGTATTTATGTAAGTGCGTTTGTACGTGTATGTTTGGGGGTCTGAAATGGACTAATCTACTTCACAATATTCCTTATGGGAACAAATTCGGTCAGTACTGGCACCTGAACATACTTCTGGAGTGAAAAAATATCGTTAACCGGGGGTCCACTGTATTTATTGATTATGTGTCGTTCCTAAGTTCTGCCACCTGATCTGAGTTCCCTTGTTCACTTTGTTCTTGGCTAATTTCTTCCCTTTGCTCATTTTTGTTTGTTCTTGTTCTAGTTTTCTCATCCTCCCTTCCCCTTTCTGCTATGTTTTGTATCCCTGTTTCCTTTTCCGACTTGCTCTGTATGACACTTTCTGCTCTTGATCTTACTTTTACTCCTTGGTTTTCACCTCTATTTGCATTTTCCTCCTTTTCTTGTTCCTTTTTCCCTGTTTTCCACTCTTTGTACAACTCTGGCAAGCTCCTTAGAAATTTCCTTATGCTTTCTGGGTTTTCACTTTTCAGTACCTCTCTTATGCTTAACCAGCTGTCCCTTTCACTGGGGCAAATCCAGAAACGATTTTCTTGTTTTTGGTCATTTGTCATGTCTGCATGAAGCTTTGTCACTCAGTAAGTCAGTCAAGCCATTCAGTCAGTCATGTCACTCAGTAAGTCAGTCAAGTTATTCAGTAAGTCAGTCAAGTCATAAGTCAGGTCATTCAGTAAGTCAGTCAAGTCATTCAGTAAGTCAGTTTAGTCATTCAGTAAGTCAGTCAAGTAACTCAGTAAGTCAGTCAAGTCATTCAGTAAGTCAGTCAGTCAAGTCACTCAGTAAGTCATTCAGTCAGTCAAGTCACTCAGTCAGTCAGTTCAGTCAGTCAGTCAGAAAGTCAGTCATTCAGTCAGTCACACAAACTCATGTTAACCTCTTTTTCTGTGTACAAAGTAACACTTCAATTACGGCTACAGGTATATCTTGTTTAATATCCTTATAAATTGTATTTCTTAAATGTTTCTCACAATTATATCACATAAATGTTAAACCTAAAACCCAATCTAACTTTATTATTTTTTAAATCCACTACCTAACAGAATACTCCATACGACTGAATGTACAACAATGCATGCAACCATATGACCTGTCTTTGTAATACTCATTTGTGCTTTATAGTTATCTGTTTACAATAATGTATTATCACTGATTTCATCATTGCTTAGTTAATTTTAAGCCAGCCCATAATGCTATGCATAGTATAAGTGGCTTTGGCATGCTGCTCTTATCTGTATTTTTTTGTACCTCTGTACTTATGCTCAAATTGTAAATAAATAAATAAATAAATAAATTCTAAGACTTAAGTGGTTATACCTCTTCGTGCCACTTTCAGCAACACTACTATGGCTACTGGGTGTCATGATTGCTTGGCAGATATACAAGATATAGTAATTAAAATATCATAACACAATTCACAAACACAGCTGCCTTGTAGCAGAGAAAGACTGGACATGTATGAATTAGGAATGCTGGGATGGTGGGGTGGTGGTGTCAGGGAGTGGTAGGGGATGGTGGGGGTGGTGTGGGGGAGTGGTAGGGGACGGTGGGGTGGTGGTGTCGGGGAGTGGTAGGGGATGGTGGGGGTGGTGTGGGGGAGTGGTAGGGGATGGTGGGGGTGGTGTGGGGGAGTGGTAGGGGATGGCTCCCCGGCTGCTACACAACAAGGCGGCCGCTTGAGCAAAAGAGAATTTTTTTTTTCCTTCCCACAAACTGAACCATGGTCCAAACCTATATATACGTTTTTTCAACATCTGAAAGTATGTAAAAAATGTAGATTTTCTTTTTTGTTTTACATTTGAAAACATGTAAAAAAACTTTTATCTACATTTTTTTTTGTTATATTTGAAAATATGTAAAAAAAAGTAGATCTACTTTTGTAGCACTACGAATTTGAACTTCGATCTGTTTGGACCGTTTAAGGGTTAAGACTTGGCAGAGCAAATTTTGGGGGACTTTAGTTTTATCACAGTGAAATTCTTGCCTCCTAATACCACTCCTCTCCTCCAGCCCATGGACCAGCAGGTCATTTCAAATTTCAAAAAACTGTACACCAAAGCAATGTTTCAGAAGTGCTTTGAAGTGACCTAAGACACTCGATTGACCCTAAGAGAGTTTGGGAAAGATCACTTTAGTATCCTCAATTGTGTAAACCTTATATGTAAGGCTTGGGAGGGAGTGACTAAGAGGGCCTTGAACTCTGCTTGGAGGAAATTGTGGCCAGAATGTGTAGGAGAGGGATTTTGAAGGGTTTGGGGCTAACCCTGAGGAGCCTATGCCAGTTGTGGAATCTATTGTGACATTGGGAAAGTCCATGGGGTTGGAGGTTAGTGGGGAGGATGTGGAAGAGTTGGTGGAGGACAGCGATGAAGAACTAACCACTGATGAGCTGCAAGAGCATCTGCAACAGCAAGAGGCCACAACTGAGGAAATTGCTTCAGAGGAGGGAAGAGAGAAATTGAGGAAGTTGCCTTCTTCAAAGATTAAGAAAATGTCTGCAAAGTGGGTTGAACTGCCAACCTTTATGGAAGAAAATCACCCTGACACAGCTATTGCAAGCCGTGCTGGTGACTTTTATAATGACAATGTTGTGAACCACTTTAGGAAAATCTTCGAGGAACACGAGGTACAGAGCTCTATGGACAGATTTTTGGTGCGACAGAGGTCCAGTGACTCTCAAGTTGTTCCTAGTGGCATTAAAAGAAGAAGGGAAGTAACCCCAGAAAAGGACTCGCTACCTAAAGTCCTTATGGAAGGGGATTCCCCTTCCAAAAATTAATACACTTCCATCTCCCCTCCTCCCATCCCATCACTCATCACCACATCTGCAATAAAGGTAAGTGTCATTTATTCTTCATTACACAATATATATTGTGCATGTATCCTTCTTTTTGTGTGTAGGAAAATGTATATTTCATGTGGTAAAATTTCTTTTTTTTTTCATACTTAGGGGTGTCTGGAACGGATAAATTTGATTTCCATTATTTCTTATGGGGAAAATTAATTCGACTTATGATAATTTCGTCTTAGGACGAAATTATCAAAATAAACAGTGCAGACAAAATAAACAGTGAAGACATTCCTGACACTAAAATAACATTTTATCTGTTCATTAGTCATGTCTCCAGGCCCCTATTATATTACGCTTGCTTTTCATTTTGAATTTTTATTCACACAAAAAATGTATGATTTACTGTTATTCAGACTACTGCATAATTATAATAATTGTATAAATAATATCAGCACATTCATGAATGCATATTAGACCCACCAGTTGTATTGGACGCATGACATGACTTGAACATTGTCAAAAATCTAACATTTCTGCTACTTTGAGCTCAATTTCAAGCTACTTTAGTTGGTAAACCATTCAAAATCATCTCTATTTCTGTAAAATATCTTCAGTTCTATTAAATGAGACCAAGAAAACGAGAATACAACCATAAATACCATACAAAAATACACCGCAAAGTTGCTGTTTTAAACCAAAGACACACTTTTTTTTCTCATTATGCACTACTTGCTGCAGGACTTTTTTTTATACTATGCACACTGACCACACAGACTATTCTTTCATATGTAGGCCTACCAGCTTTCTCCTGCAAGATTCGAAGCTGCTAGAATTTTGTCAGTAATTTCATGGGACTGACACCGAAGGGATTAAACTCTGTGTATGTACATTTGAGATATTCACCTGCCTCTATATACCTGTACATTTTTTGAATAATGCTACATAATGCCATATATTTAATATTAACATTAATACCAGGTGCTTGAGAAGTCGTCTAAGGTGGCAGATATCAACCGGGAGCACCTCAAGGTGGAGTCGAATCGGTTATCAGAATACAATAAACGTGCATGTAACTTTTGGATCTGGATAATGATAATCTTTGTATGTTTTACTTTTATTGGTAAGTATGTGCTGTTTTAGTAATTCATTGTTACAGTGGTACCTCGAGTTTCGTACAGCTCCCAACTCGAACAATTATGTAAGTACAGTGCACCCTCAGCTAACGATGGTATCACCTAACGTTAAATCCAGCATACAATAATACATTTTAACGCAAAAATTTTGCCTCAGCTAACGCTAAAAAACTCACCCTACGCGATTCGTTCGAGACGCATCCACGTGTGGCTTGAGCGCACCTCAGTTGTCCCATGGGTGCCAGTGTTTACAAGCCAGCCAGTGCGGTCGCATCCACGCATACAGTCGGAACATTTCATATTATCACAGCATTTTTAGTGATTGTACCTGCAAAATAAGTCACCATGGGCCCCAAGAAAGCTTCTAGTGCCAACCCTGCAGGAAAAAGGGTGAGAATTACTATGGATATGAAGAAAAAGATAATTGCTTAGTACGAAAGTGGAGTGCGTGTCTCGGAGCTGGCCAGGTTGTATACCAAACCCCAATCAACCATTGCTACTATTGTGGCCAAGAAAACGACAATCAAGGAAGCTGTTCTTGCTAAAGGTGCAACTTTGTTTTCGAATAAGAGATCGCAAGTGATAGAAGATGTTGAGAGACTGTTATTGGTGTGGATAAACAAAAAACAGATAGCAGGAGATTGCATCTCTCAAGGGATCATATGTGAAAAGGCTAGGAAGTTGCATGAGGATTTAATTAGAAAAATGCCTGCAACTAGTGGTGATGTGAGTGACTTTAAGGCCAGCAAAGGTTGGTTTGAGAGATTTAAGAATTGTAGTGGCATACATAGTGTGATAAGGCATGGTGAGGCTGCCAGTTTGGACCAAAAATCGGCTGAAAAATATGTGGAGGAATTCAAGGAGTACATAAACAGTGAAGAACTGAAACCTGAACAAGTGTTTAATTGTGACAAAACAGGCCTGTTTTGGAAGAAAATGCCAAACAGGACCTACATTACTCAGGAGGAAAAGGCACTCCCAGGACATAAGCCTATGAAAGACAAGCTTACTCTTTTGATGTGTGCTAATGCTAGTGGTGATTGCAAAGTGAAGTCTTTATTGGTGTATCACTCTGAAACTCCCAGAGTGTTCAGGCACAACTATGTCCTCAAGGCTAATTTGTGTGCGATGTGGAGGGCAAACAGTAAGGAAATGGGTCACTAGGGGACCTTTTCTATGACTGGTTACACCATGCATTTGCCCCCACTGTGAAAAATTACCTAATGGAAAATAAATTGGACCTTAAGTGCCTTCTGGTATTAGACAATGCTCCTGATCATTCTTCAGACTTGGCAGAGTGACTTTGTGGGGACATGAGCTTCATTAAGGTCAAGTTTTTGCCTCCTAATACCACTCCTCTCCTGCAGCCCATGGACCAGCAGGTCATTTCAAGCTTCAAAAAACTCTACACAAAAGCTATGTTTCAAAAGTGCTTTGTACTGACCACAGACACTCGATTAACTCTAAGAGAGTTTTGGAAAGATCACTTTAGTATCCTCAGTTGTGTAAACCTTATAGGTAAGGCTTGGGAGGGAGTGAACTCTACTTGGGAGAAACTGTGGCCAGAATGTGTAGACAAAAGGGATTTTGAAAGATTTAAGGCTAACCCTGAGAAGCGTATGCCAGTTTTGGAATCAATTGTGGCATTGGGGAAGTCCTTGGGGTTGGAGGTTAGTGGGGAGGATGTGGAAGAGTTGGTGGAGGAGGACAATGAAGAACTAACCACTGATGAGCTGCAAGATCATCTTCAACAGCAAGTGGCCAGACCTGAGGAAACTGCTTCGGAGGAGGGGAGAGAGAAATTGAAGAAGTTGCCTACTTCAAAGATTAAGGAAATGTGTATAAAGTGGCTTGAAGTGCAAACCTTTATGGATGAAAATCACCCTGACACAGCTATTGCAAGCTGTGCTGGTGACTATTACAATGACAATGTTGTGAACCATTTTAGGAAAGTCATCAAGGAACGGGAGGTACAGGCCTCTATGGAGAGATATGTTGTGTGACAGAGGTTCAGTGACTCAAGCTGGTCCTAGTGTCATTAAAAGAAGAAGGGAAGTAACTCTAGAAAAGGACTTGATACCTGAAGTCTTAATGGAAGGGGATTCCCCTTCTAAACATTAACAACTTTCACACTCTCCCCTCCTCCCATCCCATCCCATCAATCATCACCAGATCTTCAATAAAGGTAAGTGCCAGTTTGTGTGTATTAAAATTAATATTTCATGTGGTAATTTTTTTTTTTTCATACTTTGGGGTGTCTTGCACGGATTAATTTGATTTCCATTATATCTTATGGGGAAAAGTACGTAATTCAGCTAACGATAATTTCAGCATACGATGAGCTTTCAGAAATGGATTAATATTGTTAGCTGAGGGTCCACTGTATATTATTGTCAGTGCTTTTGTAAGTGTATTTTGGGGGGTCAGAAATGAACTAATCTAATTTACATTATTCCTCATGGGAACAAATTCGTTTGCTAACAGCACTCGAACAGCCATCTGGAACAAATTGTGGCCGAAACTCAGGGTACCACTGTATTTTATAAAGTAATAATTTTTTCAATTTAAAATCTTTGTTTTAGTCAACAACTTTTCACTGTCTCTTGCACAGATGCACATCACTGAGGTGAACTTTTCACTGTCTCTTGCAAAGAGCTGTGTCACTGAGGTCAGTGTTGCATGTGTAATCTATGTCTTAATCACAGCACCCTCAAATTTGCTGTGATGGGTAATGGGAACAGTTAACATCTGACCTCATGTTTGTTAAAACAGTGACTTATTGGTGCTTTGATGGCTAGTTTTCTTGGCTTTATTGGCTGTTTCTTAGTGCCAGTTGATAAACTAGAAGACATACTAGAGAAATGGAGATTTTGGACAGCTTTGGAATAGAGGTGGCCTGAAATAGGCCTCAGAGTGGCAGAAATATATAACTGGTGATTTTCCTGAAGAAGGATAGGAGTCCTTTCCCCTGGTTTATTTTATGGGATTTTACTAGGCCTAATTCAGTTATTGGAACAGCCTAAACCATGAAGAGGCATTCTTGGTTATATTTTAAGCTGAGAAATTGGGTAAAACTTTGATATTTTTTTTTTTTTTGTGATGGATTCATGTTGGAGGGCATGTGTTACATAGGCGTGGCCTGAGAACATGATTACAGCCTCTCCTCACTTAGTGATGGTGTTTTGTTCCTGAGACCACATCGTTAAATGAATTCGTCGCTAAGTGAGGAGCATACTATAATGGTAGTGAGTTTGTGTCAGCCATCTTTTATATTGTTTTAATGTCACATTTGCTCCATTTATAACATTTCTGGTATATTTTTAAACTTTATAAAGTAGTTTACTGTAGACTGAAATAAACAGAATAGAGGAAATCATTTCTAATATACATTATTTAGGTATGAATACTGGTCAGAGAGCCCATCGCAAGTCTGAGTGCAGATAATACCCACAGTCCACCATTAGTGTTATATTATCATAAATTTGTGCCCCCCTAAAATTCCAATACCCCAACTACTTTTGATTGTCACTGTTGTATTCAATGACCATTCTACCTCATAATCTTAATTGTGTTTAATATCTACAGAATCTATCTCCTTTTTTACATCTTACCACAACTTGTCCTCAATTATTCTACCTCACTTTAAGAAATACTCTATTGCCCAATTTTATTCTAAAATCTCTATTATTGCCCAATTTTACTTTAAACTATATTGACCAAACTTTTTGAAATTTTTTTTTATTCCCCTTTTTTTATTCTAATTTTTTAAAAACTAGTTTTTTCAACTACCAACTTTTATTTTATCCTTCTCCCATCTTACTAGCAATTATAACCAAGTCATTGCCATTTTTTTTTTTTATTAAATTTTTTTTTTTACTTTTGTCCCTTTAAAACTGTTATTTTATCTTGTCAATTTAAATCTATTATACTCTTGTTCTTGTAAAAATTAATAAACCTTAGTCAATTACAATTGGGGAGTCTTGTGCCTTTTTTATATTATTAGATTAAACTACTTTTACTATAGTCTTCAGCTCAATACTGTCATACCAAATTCATTAATTAGCAGGGTCAGATTAAGAAGTCCCGGGCCTGCTATTAGTTTGGGGGGGCCCCCTTTAAATTACGGGTAACGAAGTACCCCTTCCAGTTTGGGGGGAGGGGGGGGGTGGTTTGGGGGCCTTTTTAAGGGTTAATTAAATACTTTGGTTTTTAGATTAATTTAATAGGGAAAGTACTCAAGACAAAAAAACCATTATCAACAGCCTTATAACTTCTTGTTAAATCTGCATTTTAAAAAAATAAACTCAAGACAGCTAGTTTACTAAAATTAGGCTATTGATAGTGACATCATGTACCTTTTTATATTAGCATAACCCCTACAGCACTATTTTTCCCCTTTATAAATACTGACCATTTTGTTTTATTGATCTGCATAAGACTATAAAATTTTAAAAACCCAAAGAAGTAAAGAATTGTTATTTTCACAGGACTTCTTAAAAAAACTTTTTTCTGGTTTTAGAGTGGCAAAATCATCAATTATATTCTGAAAATCAATATTCTTGTTAGATCAGCTCAATGGCAAAAAGGGGTGGGTTTACACAATTTGTTTTGGGTCATTGTTGAACAGAGCGGGTTTTTTCATCTTTTAAAAACAAAAAATAAACGTTCTCCTTCACGTTAGTAGCTGGAAATGTTGGGGAAAAGGCGATACACTATGTTCGCCAAATGAGAATCCAATAAGCCTTTTTTTTGTGCACGAAACACTGGGTAAAATCCTCCTGTGATGGTGGTTTTCTTTTCCCTCGAAACATTTGGGAATTTTTTCCAGCATTAAACCCCTGGTGAAGGGTATTTTTTTTGGGTAGAAAAATAGCTTCATGCTGAACAGTACATTTTTCCTGAGCTTTAGAGTATACCCCCATGCCCTTTTCAAGTTTCTAATTTGAAGTTTTCCTATAAAACATAGTGACTTTAAACAACGACGACC